ACTAGGATGTAATAATTGTATATATGTATGAACCCAAGACTGGAGTACCCACATATATAAAGCAAATATTACTAGAGCTAAAAAGGGAGATGGACTCTAGTACAATAATCTAGTACAACAATAGAAGTGTAGAACAAATGGACCTAATAGAAATTTAAGAAACATTTCATCCAATGGCTACAGAACACACATTCTTCTCAGCACATGGATCATTTTCAAGGATAGACCATGTAAAGCATCAAAACAAGTCTTAAAACATTCAAAACAATAGAAATAATATTAAATATCTCTCTGACCAAAATGGAATAAAACTAGATATCAAGAACAAGAGGAATTTTAAAAACCATACAAATGTGAAAAATTTAAAAATGTGTTCCATAGCCAGTGGGTCAATGAAGAAATAAGGAAGTAAATTTTAAAATTTCTTGAAACAAATTAAAATGTAAACACAACATAGCAAAACCTATGGGATCCAGCAAAAGCAGTACAAGAAGAAAGTTTATAGCAACAAGCACTTACATCAAAAAAGTAGAAAGCTTCAAATCAACATAACAATGCATCTTAAAGCATGAGAAAACCAAGTCCAAAATTAGAAGAAAAGAAATAAAGATTGGAGCAAAAATATATGAAATTGAGACTGAAGAAAACAATATAAAAGATCAACAAAATGAAAAGTTGGTCTCTTGAAAAGATAAACAAAATTAACAAACCTTTAACCCAACTAATAAAGGAAAAAAAAAAGAGAAGACCCAGATAAATACAATCAGACATGAAAAAGGAGACATTACAACCAATACTGCACAAATTCAAAGGATCATTAGAGGCTACTATGAGCAACTATATGCCAATAAATTGGAAAACCTAGAATAAATGAATAAATTCCCAGACATAGACAATCTACCAAGATTGCTCAATGAAGAAATCCAAAACCTGAACAGGCCAATAAAAAAAAGGGAAGCAAGGATGGTCCAACATATGCAAATCAGTGTGCTACATTATATTAACAGAATGAAGGTCAAAAACCATATGATCATTTCAGTTGATTCTCAAAAAGCATTTGATACAATTCAACATGCCATTGTGATAAGAACCCTCAAAAAACTGGGTATGGAAGGAACATATCTTAACATAATAAAAGCCATATAAAAGAGGTCCACATTTAGTATCATACTGAACAGGGAAAAACTAAAAGCCTTTCCTCCAAGTCTGGAACACAACAAGGATGCCCACTTTCACCACCATTATTCAACACAGTGCAGAAAATCCTAGCTAGAGCAATCAGACAAGATAAGGAAATAAAAGGCATCCAAATTGGATTGGAAAGGAAAAAGTCAAATTATCCTTGTTTGCAGATGACATAATCTTATATTTAGAAAAACCTAAAGACTCCATAAAAACTATTAGAACTAATAAACTAATTCAGTAAAGTTGCAGGATATAGAATCAACATACAAAAACCAGTAGCATTTCTATATGACAACAGTGAACAATCTGAAAAAGAAATCAAGAAAATCATCCTATTTACAATAGCTAAAAATAAAATAAAATATCTAGGAATAAACCTAACCAGAGAAGTAAAAGTTCTCCAAAATGAAAACACTGATGAAAGAAATTGAAAAGGACACACACAAAAGGGAAAGATATTCCAAGTTCATAGATTGGAAGAATCAATATTATTAAAATGCCCATACTACCCAAAGCAATCTACAGATACAATGCAATCACTATCAAAATACCAATGTTATTCTTCACAGAAATAGCAAAAATAATCCTAAAATTTAGATGGAATCACAGAAGACCCAGAATAGTCAAAGCTATTCTGAACAAAAATAACAAAACTGGAGAAATCACATTACCTGACTTCAAATTATACTACAGAGCTGTAGTAAACAAAACAATGGGGTACTGACATAAAAACAGACACAGAGACCAATGGAACAGAACAGAAAACATAGAAACAATTTCATGCATCTGCATTGAACTAATTTTTGACAAAACTGCCAAGAACACAGGTTGAGGGAAGACAGTCTCTTCAGTAAATACTCCTAGGAAAACAGGATATCCATATGCAAATGAATAAAACTAGATCCCTATCTCTCACATATACAAAAATCAAATCACAATGGATTAAATACTTAAATCTAAGACCTCAAACTATGAAACTACTAAAAGAAAACATTAAGGAAACCCTCCAGGACACTGGACTGGGCAAAGGTTTCTTGAGTAATACCCCACAAGCACAGGCAGCCAAAGCAAAAATGGACAAATGGGATCACATCAAGTTAAAAACATTCTGCAGGAATCACATCAAGTTAAAAACCTCCTGCACAGCAAAGGAAACCATCAACAAAGTGAAGAGACAACCCACATAATGGGAGAAAATATCTGCAAACTATCCATCTGACAAGGAATTAATAACCAGAATACACAAGCAGCTCAAACAACTCTATAGGAAAAAATTTAATAACCTGATTTAAACAAATGGGAAAAAGATCTAAATAGACATTTCTCAAAAGAAGATACACAAATGTCAAACAGGTATATGGAAACGTGTTCAACATCACTGATGATCAAAGAAATGCAAATCAAAACTATACTGAGATATAATCTTACCGCAGTTAAAATGGTTTTTATCCAAATGACAGACAATAGAAATTCTGGCGAGATTATGGAGAAAAGAGAACACTTGAACACTGTTGGTGGTAATATAAATTAATATAATCACTATGGAGAACAGTTTGGAGGTTCCTCAAAAAACTAGATGTAGAACTACCATATGGTCCAGGAATCTCACTGCTAGTTATAATACTGAAAGAAGGAAAATCAGTATATTGAAGAGTTACTTACACTTCCATGTTTATTGCAGCACTATTCACAATAGCCAAGATTTGGAAGTAACCCAAGTGTCCATCAACAAATGAACGGATAAAGAAAATGGGGTAAATATACACAATGGAGTACTATTTAGCCATAAAAAGAATGAGATCCAGTCATATGCAAAACACGGATGAAACTGGAGGTCATTATGTTAAATGAAATAAGCCAGCTAGAGAAAGACAAATTTTGCATATTTATTTGTAGAAACTAAAAAATATTAAACCAATTGAACTCCTGGCAATAGAGAATAGAATGGTGGTTACCAGAGTCTGGGAAGGGTGATGGGGCAGGGTTGGGGGGATGGAAAGTGGGGAGGGTTAATGGGTACAAACATATAGTTAGGGTGAATAAAAGCTAGTATTTGATAACACAACAGGGTAACCACAGTCAACAATATTGTACATTTAAAAATAACTAAAAGAGTGTAACTGAATTGTATGTAATACAAAGAAAGGATAAACGCTTGAGGCAGGACACCTCATTTACCCTGACATGATTATTATACATTGTATGCCTGTACCAAAATATCTCATTTATCCTATAAATATATACTCCTATTATGTACCCAGAAAAATTTAAAAGAAAAAATTTCAAATAGCTGTCTAAATTTTTTAAATAAAATCAAAATAAATTCTATATGTATTAATGACTCACTTGGGAAACAAAACCCAGGATACTGTATGTACTATCTAGGAATGGGACGACTTTAATAAGACTACCCAGAAACAATACAAGATAATAATTGATTATACCAAAATTAAAAACTTCGATATGGTAAAATTTACGATAAAAAGTCAATAGATAAATTATACATTAGAAAAAAATTGAATATAGAATATAATACCTATACTGTATAAAATTTGCTATAAAATTATCAAGAAAAATTCCAATAATGCAATAGAAAATTTCCAGAATCTATGAATAGGTAGTTCTCAGGAGAGAAAATAAAAATATATGATTATTTTAAATTTTATCTGATTTTAAAATTTTTATCTGTTGATACTGCTACAAAGTTAATATGATGACTTGTTATCTTCTCTTCCAACACTAGGTTCTCTCCAGATTTCCATAGTCTGTGGTATGTTTCCATGATTAAAGACTCCCAAACACAGGAGGTTCAGAACCCTTTCTGACTTCTTTCTCTTCCATGTTTACCAGACAGATGTTCATCTCCCTGGTCTTGGGTAGTCACCTCAACCCTGATTCTATCTCACCCTTCCCACTGGGCCACGGAGAAGGCTAAATAGACACAGTGGGACAAGCATGAGCATTGAAGTCCAACCAGTTTTGCTTTTACTTTCTGCCATTTACTAGGAATGTAGTACCAGTTATGATACTTTGTGGGCCTTGGTTCTCTCTGCTGTAAGATAGGATAATTATACATGCTTTTCGTGGTCTCTATAAGAACAGATAGAAATAATTCATATAAAGTGTCTAGCATACTTAGGACTTAAAAAATGTGAGTTCCCTTCCCTACTTCAGCTTCTTATGGTTAGTCTTGGGATTGGGATACTGGCAAAGATATTTTCAAAATGGCTACCTGGCTCCAGTGTCTTGATGTTTGAAATACTCTATTGATTAATAACAGATTTTTCTAAAACTCTGCTTTTGTGATATCATTTTTCTGATTACCTATTTTATCGATCCCTTACTACCTCCAGGGAAAATTACAAATTGCTTACATTTACTGTCAAGACACTCATTCCTCTGAGGTGGAGACAAATTTTAAAACCTTGCCTAAGATGCTTCAAACACTTTAAATTTTTTCATTTGGAAAAATGAAGGATTGCCTACAAATCTGGATTCACCTTTACAAGGAAACATAGTAAAGCACAGACATACCAAAGTAAATTTCACTTTAGTTTTCTGAAATCTTACACTGCAGTTGAAATGTCTTTTATATATCCACTTAAGTCTTACCACACTAAATGGCAAAACTGGAAATGACAGCAAGTATTGACCACAGGCACAGTTATCACCATAGTGATACTAATAATTAAGCATATTTGCAACCCAAAATAATTAAAACAAGATTTTGTTGTAATTTTAAGTAAAAATGTAAATATTTCCTCATGTAGTTATATAACTAGTCACCAACAACAGCAAAAAAGACTTTTCTTTACCTAGTACTTCTTTTTCCAAATCATAGCATCTGGTTTGCAAGTTTACTTCCTGTTGTCTAGATGTCTGAATCTGCTGAGATCTCAATATGGCTGCATCTGACAACAATTTCAGATTTTTCATTTCCTTTTCAAGGCATACTTTATTTCTCTGGGACACTGTCAAACTTTTATTCAGTATGTCTATTTCTGTAAAAAGAATTCAAAGTTTACAAATAGCCAATAATTGAATCATAAAACATATCTCTAAAGATTGATTAGCTTCTTTTAGAAAATTAATAGTTGAAAGGCAATATGACATTTCTGAGATTATAATGACATCTAACTAAAAAGTTAAATTTAAATTCAGTAGTCATTCTGAAAATGATGTTTTATTGCTACATGATGCATGAAATCTTTTAACAGTATTTTTTTTAGCTTTTAAACTGCATTAAGTGGTAATACAGCCTGCTTTTTAAATACTCACATAAATGAATAATATAAGATCTGTGTAATGTTATGGGTTTTATTGAAATTTTTCTTTAGGCAACATGATTCAGAAAAGTAAATTTAAATGTTCTAGCATGAGCTGGTTGGGTGGCATTTCTAAGGGGTTAACTAGGATACATTCTCTACAAATTATGAAGACAGATTTTAGGAGTAGAGTGGACTAGAAGGATGTAGTGTCTAAAACTAATAAATTTATAGGCAGAAAGCATAGTTAATAATACCTTAATTATTTTAATAGTACTGTGTCCCCCCAATAAGACCAGAATTCATCATAATAATCATGTCATTATTCTATTTAGATTGTTTAATAAAAATGTCTTTATAGCTCTACTTAGATTTAAATGTGCCAATTTTATATAATTTCATGAGAAATGCATGAAGCATATTATCCTTTGGAATAATTAACAAGCTACCTGTTCATCAGTCTTTTCTGCACTATTGCCTTAAACGATCATTAAAACACATGAACACATACTCAACAAAGATAAAATAAGTGCTATAAAATTTGTACAACCACAATTAATTGAATTGATGAGCATGTGATTTACATGAAAATTTTGACAGTCTGCTTTTTCAGACATTTCAATTGGAATTCCCTTCTTTGGTTAGCCCATCCTCGACTATGTGATAGGTTTAACATGTGATGAGATGTCAAAAGTGGTTGGTTTCGTTTATTGCTCTTGGTGCCACCAGAGCAGAAACAGCAACCACGTGGGCCAGTGAAGACCACAAGTAGAGATACATAGGACAGACATGCAGTAGAGGTAATATGGCCAGGAAATGGTTATAGGAGAAGTAAAGCAGAGAGCTAGAACAGAGCACAGGAAAAAGAGCATGTTTTAAGGGATTGTGATGAGGAGGATCAGGAATGTAGTACAAGGAGATAAAAGCAAAATATCTTTCCATGGATAGAAAGCATGTCTGGGAGAAAAAGTGGCATTTGTGATAGACCTGGGGAATAAGCACAAGGGGCCTGGCACCTTCTCTACATTTAGTTCCTGCTCAAAATGGAAAACCTAGAGAAATAAATTGCAGGAACCAAGTAAGTGGGATTTTAATATAGTCCAATGATTATTTTATGTGGGAATTTTTTTTCCTCAAAATAGCTATATGCTACTAAAAACTTACGACTATGCACCAATTTGTGTGAGGAAAACTACTAACACACAGTACATAAAATTTTTTAAAGAATGGGGTTAAAGAAAATAAGGAGGTTAGTTTCCCTATGTACCTAAAAAGTCTTTCTGTGTATTTTTGTAGCCAAAAAGGTGGCTCCTTAAGGTTGAATAAACTATAACATACCAAAACCATATCTATGTTTAAGTCAAAATGACACTGCACAGCACCACACACATGCTGTCACCTATTTATCATTTGCCAAAATGACACTGCTTAGGTTAGCAAGCTGACTCTGTTAGCATATACTATACTCTAAAATAACTACCAATGGCAATGTGACTTTCTATCTTACATTAAAAGAATAAAAACCTGCAATACAAATTTATTTGTGAAATATATTCTAAGACATGGAAAAGTACATCAAGATTTCAAAACTAACAAAAGCTACAACATTCCTAACACAGAGTTAGGAAAAAGTAAACTCAATGGAGATGAATTAACTTACCTTTTGCAAAATAAACACTCCTTTGCCTATGGCAATCCCAGTGTCAAAGATTCAATTCTACCCTTGTCATTATACAATTCCATACTTGTCAGACATGTGTCCTGATTTGGGGTTCAGAAATTAAGATTCCCCACAAGGTCAACCTATACTGGTCATTGTATCCACCTTGAACTTTTCCTGTCTCAGCACCATCCCATGAAGAAGGTCCTCCTATCCTCATATATTCAGCTATCATGGCTCAAATGTTACCTCTGTGCAGAAATCTTTTTGGACCTGATCTGGATGTGATCTTCATCTTCCTGGAACTCACAGCAATTTACATCATTTGTGTTGCACTGATCACATGCATACATGTGACCTACTACTGGACTATAAGTTATTTTAGGCCATAGATAGTATCTTATTCATTTCTATTTCCCCCATTATTTCTACCATGATGTCTTAGGATTAACAAGAGCCCAATAAATGCCTAATAAATTAGTAAAGGCATTGCTGAGCAAAATTTCTAGATTGTTTTTGATATACCACTAGCTGAAGATCCTGAGTATGTGTTTATCTGTCTTCATTTCAGAGGCAAGCATTTTGAGCCCCACATTTTTAAATGTCAGAGTAGGATAGGCAGTTAAAACACATATCCAAAAGAAACATTTTTAATTGAATAAATGAATCGATCAATTCTATCCCTAATTTAATCAATTTTGTGAAAAATGTGGACTACATTTCTAAGCCTAATTCTAGATTTGAATTTTAAAAGTTCAACAACTATTCAGTCAAAAGTTGTTTGGGGAGTGGAATTCACCTGATAAGTATTCTGCCTTGGTAAAAATATTTTTCCTGAAATTTATTTTATTAAAATAAGTATGCTCTTGTTTAAGAAAATTTCAACTATAAAAACTTCATTTTAAAAAATGTCAATTACGTAAAGTGATAATCATTTGCTAGAATAGGAAATATTTCACTCATACCTGCTACTCAATATTCAGCATACATTAACAGCAAGAAAATATTAAGAAACTCCCTTTTCTAGGAATGTTATTTTAGTTTTGGACTTTGATTTTAAAGCCTAATTTTAACATGCAAATCTTTTAAAGTAACTGAATAATATTGTGCAATATATATGGGGTTTACTACATTTATTAGTTTGCTAGGGCTGCTGAAAGAAAGTACCACAGATTGAGTGCTTAAACAACAGAAATTTATTTTCTCACAGCTCCAGAGACTAGAAATCTGAGATCATGGTGTCAGCAGGATTGGTTCCTTCTTGGACAGCGAAGGAAGGATCTGTTCCAGGTCTCCCTCCTTAGGCTTGCAGGTGGCTGCCTTTTCCCTGTGTATTCACATGGTGTCTGTAGGTGTCTGTGTACAGATTTCTTCTTCTTATGACACCAGTCAGATTGGATTAGGGGCTACCCTAATGACCTCTTTAAAAACTTTATCTCCAAATACAGTTACTGTAGGAAGTACTGGAGATTAGGACTTTAACATTTCAATATATGAATTTGAGGAGGGGGACACAATTCAGCCCATCACACTATATTTTAGAATACTTGTTATTTAAAATGTTTGTACTATTATCAAAATTTATAGCCAATACATGTTTTTAGCTTTTAGAATAAGTATTATCACATAATTCACTAGCTAATGCAAATACAATTATTACTATTAAGCTATGCAATCAATTTCTTTACCTTGATAAGTTTTTTTCTTTGTTTTTCTATTAGTCCTGTGAGCTTAGGCAAATGAACTCAAAATTATGCTAGGTCATTATATTATTAGGAAACCTCTATAACTTTATTATCAAGGCATTCTGATGTTACAAACACAGTGTGATTCTTAATTCACAAAACGTCACAGTTTTATTACAATAATAGGGAAAAAGACTCAGTGACCAGATTTACTAAATAAAGAAATCAAAAAATCAATAGCTGGTGGCTCACGCCTGTAATCCCAGCACTTTGGGAGGCCGAGGCAGGTGGATCACCTGAGGTCAGGAGTTCGAAACAAGCCTGGCCAATATGGCAAAACCCTGTCTCTACTAAAAATACAAAAATTAGCCGAGGGTGGTGGCATGTACCTGTAGTCCCAGCTACTCTGGAGGCTGAGGCAGGAGAATAGCTTGAACCTGGGAGACAGAGGTTGCAGTGAGTAATCATGCCACTGCACTCCAGCCTGGACAACAGAGCAAGACTCCATCTCAAAAAACAAAAAACAAACAAAAAACAACCTAAAAAACTTTTTATTTTGAAATAAGTATAAATTTACAGAAAGTTGCAAAGAAATGTGTAGGGAGTTCCTATTCAACCGTAACGCCACCTCACTTCTTCCCTGGTTGACATTTTGTATAACTGTAGCACACTGTCAAAACTAGAAAATTGCATTGGTAAAATCCACAGAACTCACTCCGATTTTACCAATTGTATACACACTCGTGTGTGCGTGTGTGTATGTATAGTTCCATGCAATTTTATCATAAATGTAGCTTCATTACATATCAACACAATCAAAATACAGAATTGCTCTATTACCACAAAGTTGATCCCTGCAATTCCTTTATAGCCAAACCTACCACTATCCCCACCATCCCTAATCCCTGGCCACCACTAATCTGTTCTCAACACTTATAATTTTGTTCTTATAATTTTCTTATTTCAAGAATACTATATAAACAAAATCATATCTTATGTAAACTTTTGAGACTATTCTCACTAAGCATAATTTAGCTGAGGTTCATTCAAGTTGTTACACATATTAATAATTTGCTTCCTTCTGTTGCTGAGTAGTATTACATGGCATGGACATAGGACGTTTTTCTTTCATCCATTGAAGGACATTTGGGTTGTTTCCAATTTTGGGCTATTATGACTATAGCTGCTATGAACATTTACATACAAGTATTTTTGAGAACATAGGTTATCATTTATCTGGGATAAATGCTCAAGAGTGCAAATATTGGGTCATGTGGTAAGTGCATCTTCAATTTCAGAGGTAATTGCAAAATTATTTTCTAGAATGGCTGAACCATTTTATATTCCTACCAGCAGTGCTGAGAAAACTGGTTTCTTTGATCCATGTCAAC